TGGGAGCGGCCACTGCACTCCAGTCTGGGCGACAGAGAGAGACTCTAACTCAAAATAAAAAAAAAAAAAAGAGTAAAACGCTGTACCTCTAAGCAGCAGCACAACTGAGACACCTCAAAAGAAGTAGAGGCAGAGTAAGAACAGATTAGTGACAAGTCAGGGACCTCCAAAAATATTTCTTCTAGAAAATACTCCTAAATGCTGAGTGTGAGAGCTGATTTTCTTTTCTTTCCTATTTGGCTAATCTTAGTGTTGTGGCGTACAGTTTTTCCCTTTATGAGGAAGTATATAAAAGGAAAAAAAATTCTTCCAGAAGGCAAGGAAAATTTCTGGGGGCAAAGAAATATCTTTCCACAAGGAGAAAATACTAGGCTCAAGACGTGACCACCTGCACTCTCAAGCACAAAAACCTGGAGAAGCCAGTACAAGAGGAAGCTCTGAACTCTCTTAACGGACATATATCACCATGCAAATTTCTGCCAGGAACGCTTATGGGTGTTTACAGATACGGGAGAAGAAGCTGGAGAGAGTGGCCTGAGGCAGGGATCTTAACCTCACAGCAGTCGTAAATCAGATCTTCATATCCCTGGATGATTCAACTCAAGGGAAGGCTGTGGGCGCTGAGCTGTTAACAACAAGAGTATTAGTGCAACAGCTCGCAAACACTATATTGGCCTGTTTAAGAGGCAAGAGCAGCACCCCTTTGTCAGAGAACAGGACAAGCAGGACACAGGCAGGGCCCTACAGCCTAATTGCAGCCTGCAGGCAGGCCAGCCACCATGCTGGAGGGGAGACCGCACTGCCTAATGTTTGGCTCCCACATCTGGTGCTTGATCCAGGCTGATCCAGCTGCATTCCTGAGCATCAGCACACAGGCTTTTCTGCTGGTGTTTTTTTCCCTGTTGGGGAAAAAAATGTGCTCTGAACTGAGGGGGCACAGTGCAGGAGTGAAGAGACCAGTGGCCAAGCAGACCTGCCCAGGGGCTAAAGGACACCGCCTGGGGAGAAGGTCAGGGCTGGGCATGTCCAGCTTCACGAAGGCTGCCGGAATCCACAGAGGCATTGGCAGGGGGCAAGGGTGCATGCTGACCCAGAGGAATGCACCCCTTGTTCCCAACCTCACAGAGAGGCTTCCAGCAACCTGATGTCTTTCCCCCCCGGGGGATGTCAGGGCTGTTTAGTGTAAAGTTTGATCCCTGGAAAAGGGAGTTAAACATTCTTTTTCTTCTTTGCCGTGTGTCAGCTTGCATTGTCGCATTTCTTTGTCTCCTAGCTGAATTCCATCAGCGTGGCTGACCGCCTTACTTACATGAAGTGAACTGAGCTAAGAAACAAGTTTCTCAACAAGGCTGCATTCTCCGAGGTCTAAGAAGGGCAGAGCTAAGCTCAGCCCCTGCAGAGAGAAAGAAAAAAAATCCTATTTATTGTTTTATAAGAACATTACAGTCAAAAAACCAGAGAGGTCTCTCCTGCATCCGGCTCAAAGAAGTCTGGCACACACCGCACTGTAGGCCCCAAGGAGGTCAGCAGCTCCATGGCAAAGCCCAGCAGCTGTGCATCACGTCCTAAGTGAGGAAGGCAGATGGCAGAGTGTAAAAGGACTCCAGCTGGGAAAGTCATGTTCCTTGTCTATCAAATAAGAGGACTTGATAAGAGGACTTGAGGTCCAGGAGGAATCAAAAGTTCTATGAACTCAAGAAGTAAATAATCTCAGGACTAAAGAATTACAATTCCAAATAGCTAATCACTCAGATTCACCAACACCTGACAGGCTATTAACAGGCGACCTACACTCCCTCCCATGGTGCTGTATGCTGGTGGCTTCCTGACTCAGAGGGTAGCTGCTGCATTGGAGATGGATGTCTACCCCAAGTGAGTCACCTGAGTACCCTCTAGACTCTTGCCTACACCTACGGTCAACCTTACCACATTCAAATTCTTCCCAAAGACTTGTCTCTTCAGTTCATGTCTAGGAAATGTCTCTAGTTTAACTAGTTGCCACAAAACCCCCAAGTGTCAGAATTTGGGTGAGCAATTGGGAAGCAAGGGAGAAGATCTGATGATGACTTCAAGTGGGCGAGCTTCAGACAAAGATTCCGAGCAAAAGACATGGGTCCACTTCCCCCTGCTCCTGAATGCTAGCTAACTTTTGCCTTGAGTTCCCACAGCCCCTTCTGCAGCCTATGAGTTATAAAATGACTCCACGATTCCATAGGAAATCGCTGATCAGTGTTTGGTTAGGATTTTAAATTTTTAAATTAAATTTTAATTTATTCCAGGCAGGTATTTTTGGATGACAGTGTCTGACACAGTGTTTTCTGCTCAAATGTGGGCTGAAGGGATGCATTAGTCAGTAAATGATCTGATACACTGAATCCTGAGTCCCCGACAGGAAGGCATCACCTACCAGTCACCTCCACACACTCCATGCCTCTTCCCTCCAATGCTGCACCTGATAAAACTCATCTGAACATAAATGATCTATCACCTTTCAGAGTTCACTCTAGTATGATTCTCTGGATTTGCTAAAGTGTCAGAGGACCAGCTTCTCAGAGGGAAGGTTGTTGGGAGGATCAATGAAATGCAGCCAGTGGTCTCTTAGTTAACCCTCATGAGGGTCCTTAGGAATCCCTGCTATCTGGTCAGATTCTTCCTGCCCAGCCATGTAACAAAAGACTTCTTGTCAGGATTCCTGAGAGGTCTTATTGATGTTCCCATCTCCCATCTGTTTAAATACATCTTTAGGAAGAAACCTCACCCCCTACATTTGTAGGTGAAAGCCTGTTCCTGAGACCATGTGGGGCTGTGCACCACAGACCTCACGGCAGGAGGCCACCAGGTTCAGCCTCATTTTAGGCACCCACCACCTCATGAAGCAAGAGTGTTAACATCAAGAAGCAAATGTGGCTGCCATTCATTAGATAGAAGGGTGGGCAGAGACTGCACACACCACTGCAGGTGTCCTCTACAATTTTTAGTTAATTTATAATGGCAAAACAAAAAAGGGGTGTGACTCAAACACAAGCTGCAAAATGTACCGTAAACCGAAGGGAACAAAGGAGGCAGGCAGGACACAAAATGCTGAAATGCTTGCAAAACATGCCCATTCTCAAGAAGTTCTCTGTGGCAAGGTCTGAGTTCTCCAACTTCTGTCTTTTTTTTAAAATACTACACGTGTGTTAAATTTATTTAGAGAGAGTTCAATCCCAAATCTGCATCTACAGTGCTCGGAAAGCACTAGGTATGCAAGCAATAATTATGGACATATATGAGTTAATGCAAAAACAGACAAGCCATTCACATTGTTGGGTCTTCTCACACATGGAAGTAGGGTATACACTCCCTGGTTCAGCTCTAGTGACCATCCAAATTCAGTGTCCATCTTTATCCACAAGTGCACACACTCAGAGAATGCACCTGTTGTATGGCATGATTCCCTATGACTTGCATGTTCTCCTTCACATGGGTGCAGCTCACTCAGACACACTTCTACCAGTACGAGACCCTTGAGTGTGCTTCACCATATTGGATTAGTGAAAACATGGATGGGGGAACCTCTAAATGGATACAAAGACTCACGTTAGTTACCTACCTTTCTGTTTGTCCTGGTAAGAATTCTGTAAGAAATCCAGGCTCTGGAACACAGTGTAGGAATTATGGGAAACATAGTTCAGCCTCAGGCTGATCCTGTCCTTCCAGGCCTGGCCTGAGCCTTTTCTCTGCATCCGTGTAGGATAGAGGCAAGAGAGAAAGGGAGCTGGCCCTTCAAAAAGGATATAATTTACAGGCACTTTTCACGGGAGACTCCCAGAGGTTTCAGGTCTTCTGTAGGTCATCCTATGAGGGACCATCCCAGAAAGACCCCGATCTGCTCCCAGCCACATCCAGCCTCCTGGAGCTGCAAGTGCTGATTCAGAAGTCTCTTTCAACCGGGAGCGATTTGGGAGGAAAGAGGAGAAACCAGGCTACTGTGGGGATGTTAGTTTTCTTTGCCTGGCAGAACCTGACTGGAGACTCTCCTCTGAATCCCCTAAGTGGTCAAATCTTCCCCTCCCTGGGAAAGCACCCCTCGGCCAGTCATTTAAATCCCAGGTAGACTCATGCTGACACCTAGGGGTGGACATAAAAAAAGAGCCCAGCGGAGAAAAGTTGAGCACCAGAGTAAGTGGGGCTGGATCTCCAGTAGCTTCCAAGCAGGAGCTGCTGTCGCCCCCACTCCTCTCCGCCTGCCTCTAGTCAGCCTCCCCCGACTCCCAAAGAAGGTCCCGAAAAATCTGTCCAGTGATCCCCCATGCAGAAGGGCAAAAGCAAAGTTTGACTTTCATAAAAACTGCCCAGTTCCCCACCCTGTCTAGCCTTCTGTTTGCCTGAGAAAATCAGCCATTTGGAGAGAATAGAGGTGGAGAATTCAAAGCTCCAACAAGATGCCCCAGCAGGCTCTGTTCCCCGGGAACACAGGCCAGGAGATCTTACTCCTCCCAGAGGCACCAGGAACACCTTCTTACCAAACTCGCTGGCACAGAGATGTTCAATTATGGCCTCAGATTTCAACTCGTTGTCACACGGAGGACACACCGTTGTGCCTGGGAAGGGAAAGAGGGAGAAACAGAAGCTGTAAGTTGTGGGGTGGAGAGGGAACAGTCCCCTGGGGAAAGAATCAGTCCTGGGACCAGGCTGCAAGTACTGAAAGGCCTTCTGGAATTTCTAAAGGAAGACCTGAGAATCAAAAAGAAGAACCCATGTTTCATAAGCCATAAACAGGAATAGTCTCTTGAAACATGTGGACCCAGACTATTAAACATGGCACAATTATTTAAACCAGCACAATCTGAGGCTGGGAAGGGGCAGGTCCTGGGAATGACAACTTGTGGGGGGTTGTGGGTCCCTGGAAACAGCTGGCTTATAAACCCACAAAGATCTATTCCTGTTGTTTGTTTCTTGACTTCTCTTTCCTCTCAATGCCGCCTCCCATTCCTGCCCCACTTCCCATTTCCAGTCTCCCAACAAGACAGCAGATCCATCTGACCAGCCCTCCAGGAGCCAAGAGAAAGAGACTCAGCCAGACTCACAAGCTCCTGTCCCAGAGCCCTGGAACACCCCTCTCCAAAAGAGCTATAGCTGTAGGAGTTCCTACCCAGCAGGAGGGAGAGCAGCCAGGTGGGGGTGGGGCACTCGCAAAGCTACCAAATGGGAGGACTGACTGGTCAGGGAGACCCTTTGGAGGCTCTTTCTTGGGCGACTGTGAAGTGCTTTGAAGAAGAGGTGTGCAGGGGCAGGCGTGCATGCCGTGGGAGATGGCTGTACCCAGGGGAAGAAAATTTCCAGGCTGGAGCTGAGGCCTCTTCCAAGCCAAAATGCTTCTGAAGCCAAAGGATCCCACACAAGTATAGGACCTCCATGGAAGGCAGAAAGAAAGTCATATAGTGGGGCCTCTGAAAGCTGAGGTGGCTTATCAGCATCCTCCTTCTCACCCTCATCTAACAAACAGCTTGGAGCTTCTCCACCATCTAGGAAAGCATTGGAGCATTCTAAGGTTACCTCGCCTCTGCACAGCACAGGAGGCCAAGCTGGGTTGGAGCTGAGGAGCACAGAAATGTCACCCCTGAGACTGCAGCCAAGGGGGCCTGGTGGTGTTTGGCACATCGAGAGACTCTGCTCTTCATCTTCCTCCTCCCCAGAGCAACCTCTAGGGCAGCATCTCCCTCTCCCTGCAGCCCCGTGTAACTCAGACAGCAAAATGGGCAGAGCCTCCTGAGGCGGAGGGGAAAGAGGAGCTGCACAGCCCTCCCAGGCTATGGCTGCCCTCAAGACACAGCTGGCCCAGGCCTCTCCCCATCTTCAAGAAGGATCCCTGGAGGGCCCAGCCAAGACCTCACTCTTCATCCTTATGAGCAGACTCCTCTTCCACCTTTACTCGGCACCCAGGACCACCTTCCAGAGTCTCAGTGCAGCAAGAACCACACTCTGAGCAGAGGGTGGCATGACTGTCCTTGGCTCAGATGTTGGAAATTTGCTTTGCACCCAGAACTTGAGATTGGGTTCTGGAGGTAATGTTTCTCACAAAGGAGAAAATTTACACAGAATGTTGCACTATGGCTCTTGCTTCCATGGGGAGAAAAGAAGTCCTACAATATGGAAAGGTCCACGTTACCTGTACCAGGAGCATAAACTGTACTTTGAGGTTTTCCTTGTTTAAGATTTTTTTGTTCTAAGTGGAAGTTATCACCTTGACCAAATGTAATCTTGACCAAACAAGTAGTCAGGTCAGAGCAATCAGAATGTAAAGGCCATGTCTCCATTCCCTCCACCCCCTCACTGCACCTCCTCTGGCCACCCAGAATCCCCCTGATCCCACCAGCATCCGGGACTCTGCACCCCACAAGGGCTTTTTCCTCAGTCCCATCAATTACACTGGGCCTCCAGTGCTTCTTAGAGTGGCAATGGCTTGTTGGATGGGCGCTGTGTGTTTTCCACATGGGTTTCCCCACCTCAACTTTTTCCACAGCTGACTCCAGAGTAGCCTGATCCAGAGGGGAGGAATGTGTAATGCAGTCTTAATCTGCACCTCAGTGTGGCCCGGAAATAAATTCACCCAATCATCTTTCTGAGAATTAGAATGAAAATTGCTGTTTTATGGTGTATTTTAAACACTGTTTAAAGCAAATGAACAAAAAACTCAAAGGTTTTGTGTTTCGTTAATATTTAAGGAGCAGAAAAGGTGAGAGCTCAACACTAGAATCAGAAGTGAATTTTTTTTATATATCAATGAACACACACAAGTTCGATCTCACTCTTTGTCTCTCTCACTCACTCACACACACACACACACACATACACACAATCACACACCATAAATCTTCACTGGCCAGCTCCTTGAGGGACCGAGAGGAAACCTTAAGGAAGGCTTTCTGGGGATGTGAGGGCACTGTGGTCTCTGCACTCTATGACTAACACAACCAGGCTGATTTAACACATACCATGCCTGAACAACAATGAAATAAAACTAAATGTGTTCACTTCTACAACTTAAATCAGTAAAACCTGACATGGAAGGGGAACAATTTACCAGCCTGGGAATTCACAGGGCTCATGGAAATGTCAGATTTAGAAATAACTCTCCTGGAAAAAGAACAATTGCCTCTCCTGTAACAGAAGCTGATGTGGCTTGGGCATCAGCCTTTTAGGGCGAAAAATGTCTTTTGACTTATTTTTCGTTATCAGGTTTACCCTTAATAACACATGGCCACAGAGGGCCGGCCAATGTCTCAAAATTGTATACACCCAAGTATGTGAACACCCAAGTATGTGAAGCCAACCTAATGTATGCAAAGATATGACTTTGCTCTGAAAGTTCAGTTTTAATTATAAAGCATAAAGAATAAATGAAAAAAGAGCAGTACATGTGTATTTATTCTCATTAGAAAGTACCAGTTCTTACCTCAGAGCCACCGGCTGTGAGATTATGAGGACCAGGAGTTTGGTCTGTCTTGTCCTGCCCCCTACACACACACACACACACACACACACACACACACACACACACACACA